GGCTTGTTTTACAACGTCGTTGCCAAGCGACGAAAACCCAACCCCGATGGCAAACACCGGGGGGAAATCACCGCCTTTCAAAACCCACTCTGCCGATGATGATGATGCCGTTGTCTTATCCTTCCTCGTAGACTAGTAAAAAGAAACGTCATGCTGTCGTCATCCTTACATCGTCAGACGACCTCCATGTCCGTTCTCCATGACTATCACTCATCATCATCGTGAAAATCCATTCTAAAACCGAGCGGAGTGATCGTCACCACAAACCACCGCGTACTTGCTCCGATACCGTTCCGCATGTCTACCATCTGGGTTATGATGTACAAGCAAAAGCTCGGCCCGTCACATTATGCCAACACATCATCACAGTAGTATTCCCCGTCCCAGATACGCGCGACTCTTTTTCATCGCTCCACACATGCATGCGGTTGTTACCCTCCAGCTTCATCAACGTCATAATGAAGTCCATGTTCACGACATACATTTATGTCCGATGCACCACCACGCACCGTTCTGCTGCCTATATTGCATACAGTCGTGACTCCGAAACAATGGGGTGGTATGATATACGCCCTCGAAACTTTAACATCGGAGCCCCCTTTCGTTCCGGAAAAGCAGGGTGCCCAACTATACTTCGCGGATCGAGCCCGTCACAACCGATTTCGACCGTCTTATATCGGAGCCACCACTTATAAGGTACCCTCTTATATCGAGTCACGACTGCATTCGCATCCCTCTCTGTATCTCTAAACGCCCTCATATCCTTCTTACTATGAAGACATCAGTAGTCATGCCATCGGTATTGCAATTAGACCGCGGCACTGACGACATCGCACGAATCTAGGCGGATCTGATCAATCAACCCCTTGGCCGTCCGGGAGATCAAACCGACCTTGATACATGACTCTTTCATCCATGTGATTCACTCATTCTCCTAGCGAGCTAATTCCTTGCTGCTCAGGGTAAAGGTTGCTGACCGATGGCATCGTAGCCCGAGCTGCGCAGAGACGTGAAAAAAACAACCGGGCGAAACAGGAACGTTGTTGAGGTTTAGGCCAAGAGCGAGGAACGCACAGACAATTGCACACCCGGCTAGGTTACCGTGTCTCCGTATCTTCCCCCAATCAATGATCCGTTTTTTTGCGGGAGACGGCTGCTGCTGTCTACGATCAAACGCCGACAAAACACAAGCAAAGGGATGGGTTAGATATACCTGAACACGGCCGGCATCCAGCCGGCACCCCTGTTGCCACCGCGCTTCTCCGCGCCACCGCTTGCCGACGCTGACGCCCCCTGGGAGGCAGCCTTACGGCGGACGAGAAGGAAGGTGGCCAACGCTCCCGCCATGGCTCCGAGCAGCACCAAGCCCAGCATGGCGCCGGGAGAGGATGCCCCCTTCTGAGACCCGCGCATTGGCTCCTCGGGCGAGTTCTGTCGAAAGACGACGGATGAGTGATGGCATGGGGGGGAGGGATGGTTTGGTTGGAAAGAACCACCATGTGATCGGCAATGAGTGAGGGGAATAGGAGATTTGGCCCGAGGGGATCATGGGGCCGCGGTAAATGGACGCCGAGGTCAAGAAATGTATCGAGATCGGGGAACGCGATTTACGTAGATATTATATTTCCACCAATCATCGCTATCTACCGAACATAACGCAAGAACCCCCCCCCCCCCCCCCGGTGGTATCTAGCATTTTGGATAATAAAAATGATCACCGGGTGCGGTCTTGTGCGTGTGGTATCTCATGTCGCCCTACATTGTGCTTGTAAATACCTCATCTGAGAGTATGTTTAGTTTTTGGGCTCATGTTGATCCTCAAGAACATTTTTTGCCGCGAGTGTTTGTTTTGTGGGTGCGTGGGTAGGTGATGTGTTCTGTTCTGTGGGTGTGTTATTTTGTGTCATACACAGTTAGTTCTATCCGTCACTCGCAGCGTCCAACTAAAAACATTTACCACCGCACTACCTCACCGCCACTTCACCACTGCTGTAAACACTAAAACCAATGGCTGCGTGGATTCACTACACTACCGTGCTTCGAAAACGCAATCAAATCAACCACCCAGGAGACTCACCGATACCTCAACCGCCGCCGCCGCGTTCCCGTCCACACGGGCCGTTACCCCCGACGGTGCCTGCGCTGCCGCAAGGTTGGCATCCCCTCCACTGCCGCTGCCGTCGGTGCCGAGGGGCTCCGCCCAATCGGTCGCCGGGGGGTGTATGCAGGCGTCCTCCGGGAAATCCGTATCGATGAAGCCGTGCTCGACCGCCATGCTGAAGGACCAGTACTTGGATGCGGGTTCGTTTTTCTCTGTGTCAGGTAGGGGTAGGGGTAGGGGTAGGGGTACTCACGTCTTACATACCTTAGCGGTTTGACCGGGGGGGGGGCACGTGGATAACGTCGGCGTTGCTTAAAAAGGCGACTAGAATCTGGCGGCGACGGAGCGGTGGAGGAGGAAAGATCCACCATACATGGGACGCACTTAGACAGCATCGAATCACGTACACAGTGGGGGAATGAAGGCATCGCTGGGCGTGGTCGGTGTGGTTCAAATCTTTCTCAAGCTGTGCCTCGCAGCTTTTGACGTCCACACACGCAATTGATTCCATCCGCGCCTGTAATGTCCGACTCGTACGCAAATGCCACAGCTTCTGCTCCACCTCCCCTCTTTCCCAGTCCACTACCAACGGGTTATCCGCAACAACGAACCCGTTACCGCGAGTCGAGGAAGTCTGAGAGCGTCCCGTGGAATGTATGGGGGGGGGGGGGGGGGG